GTTTTTCTCATGTGTAAACTGTTTACAGAGTTAATTTATTGGTAATGGGGTCAGCTGGAAAGATCCACGGAGGATGATGGCTCCTTGATCATGTGTTATTTATTTGTTTATAATGATCTTGTGAGACGTCACAGTGGGGAAGTGCTATAGCTCCTTCACATAATGTTTAGCACAAAGAAGGTACTTAGGATCGAGAGAATGAAAATGCAAATCCATGGGCAGACACCAAGCTGGTCTATTCTACATCATATATTCATCCCATGGGACAATTCCTGGACATATGTATGGGACCAATAAGTACATAAATAAAAGAGTGACTCAAGAATTGCATGCCAGGGCTATTTGCTTTCCTGTTCTTATGTTCTCTTATATTCATAATTTGATAGTCTCTCCTTTGACTTTTACGATTGAAAAGTCATATTTTATGTAAGATAATACTTTGCAACTTATTGTTTTCCTGTTATCTTCAAACCTCCCATACAACTTTTAGTTTTTATAATTGGGATGACTCGATTATATATATAGCCTTGTTGCTATGGATAAGTAGTTGGTGGCTTTGTATAGAATGAAATAAAAGCAGATTCAAAGTGATTTTTAAGTGAATTCATGCATGATCTAGCCATAATGAGTTGTTAGGGGAGAGGAGCTGAAACTCTCACCTGCTGTATAGCAGGTGGGAAATATGATTTCGACTGAATCTGAAAAGTTACTTAAAAATATTCCCAGTTTAAGTATGTCAGCAATGAACCAGGTATGTTTACTATTTAAGCAGTAATTTCCTCATGAGCAGTGTTTTGGACCTACATGACTTACACACATTATGAGAAGATTGGGGCAAGTGATAAAATTATTCTGCTTTTGCCAGAGATGAGTTTAGGAACACAGTATTATTGATTAAAGGAGAATCTTTTCAAGGAAGCTGGCAGCAGATGCTGTTGGTTTTGAAGTATTCATAAAAGATCAGATCATCTGAGTGATACTTTGACAATTTTTGTAGACCAGGAAGCACTTTACTTACCTTTTCCAAAATATGAATGCCATTTAATTTGGTATGACTTGACATAGAAATATTGTTTTCATTTCTTTAATTGTTATGACTTCTTTAGTTTTTAAGTGGTGACTGCTATCTTTTAGGAGTGTTTTATTCTCTTGAGGTACAGGTATCCTTCACAGTTCATAGAGGATAGGACTGTACTAACTCTTATCTTTTAAGCCTTTGAAAATAGTGACTGCCTGTACTTGGTTCTCAGTGTAACTTTTATTTTTCTCCTTCTCCCTTGGCTTGGAGCAGGGCCTGCTCACTATCAGGCTAGTGGTCCTTCCACTGCTCCTTGGCGATCTCTTAGTAGCAAAACTCTCGGCCTGACTTTGCTGTATAGGGATAAGGGCATGCTGTGAGCAGTGGAGTTGTGGGAATGAGAAATGGAACAGCATCTGCTTTCAGTCTTTCCCTGTATTTAAAGCACGTGTGTGTATGTGTGTGTGTGTGTGTGTTTCATGTGATGTGTCCTGATTCTTCTCTCTGCTGCCCTTTTTAAGTAGACATTTAATAAAAGCTAGCACTTTATTTTTTCTTGTCAACATTTACAGAAGACTCAAACCTAAAAGGCAAACTTCATTATCTTTTTTTAGTCAGTAAAAGATTGAGTGTTTGTCTTTACATTTGCTAACGTCCTGGAGAAAAGTTAAAAAGATGAAAAATTATAGAAATAAAGAATGCTAGGCCTTGAAAGGATCTTATAAATTGAATCTAATTCCCTATCTGCCTCCTGAATTTTCTTTTCTTTTCTTTTCTTTTTTTTTTTTTTTTTTTTTTTTGGATTTCAGGTCATATGACTAGATTTGGGCTGAGACAGAGCTTTGATGCTTACTGTGCTCCTTGCTAGGGACCACAGTAACTGAATGGAATAGGAGTATCTGGAAAATATAGATAGGAAGTGAAGGGTGGCTTAGCATTTGGAGAATGTGAATTTGTTGCAACTTATGCTGTGCTGCTCCCACCCCTGTTACTTACATTTCACTCCTGCACAGTGTCTTGTAACTGGGATAGCTTTGGCATCTTCATATTCCAACTTAGTTTGTGATGGTCCATACACAAGGCTCCATGAAAAATAAAGAGAGTTCTTACAATAATTACATTCTGTGAAACTTAGAGTAAAAGTAGCAAACATTTGGCAGACCCTTTAAATTATCACAAATGTGCAGTACTCCTTCGTGCAGTATACCTTGGTAACCTAATTTAGCTATCTAAAACATTGTATTCAGTTAAGTACATTGATTGCAAATAGGGAAGAGTTTCACTCCATGTTTGTGTTTGACCTACAGCAGCAGAGAAACAAAAAAGCATGGTTTGTGATGGGAAAAAGATTAAAGCTATTGATACTCCATGCTATCTGTATATCATACTGATGTAAGGACAGGGACTATTGATTTGCCTTTTTTAAGTGGTAGAAACCAACAAAAGTACATGGAAGATTTTCATTTCCATTCTCATCATTCAGAAATAACTACTGTTACCATTTTGATATCTGCCTTTTTCCCCTTTATCTTAATAATTATATGTGACATATGGATGTTGAATAATTTAAATACAAATTTAATACAAATGTTCCATTTAAAAATATTTTTTGTATTTACAACTACAAATTTAAATACAAATGTTCCATTTAAAAATATTTTTTGTGTACACATGTACATTTATATAGAAAGTATTAAGTATTGTCTACTGAGGATATTTATTTTATTTTACTTTATTTTTTTTGGTACTGGGGATTTAACTCATGACCTTGTATTTGCCAGGCAGGTGCTTATGCCACTGAACTAAATCCATAACCCTACTGAAGGTTTTTAAATGGTGTTATACTGTATGTCTTTTTGTCTTCTGCACTTAGCATTGGTGCTTGATACTCAATAGATAAATTTTTACTGAATTAAAAATTAACATAATGTTATGGTTTGTGTCTATATGTCCCCCCAAAGACTTATGTGGTCGTGGAGGCAGACTTACAGCATTTATGACTGATTCTTGGTCCAATGCTGGGATAATGAGTGTAAATGATACACTTCCCCTGGGGAGGAGGTAGCCTGAATATGACATAAGGGAGGGAAAGAGACCTGTTCTGCTCTCTCACCACCCTTTTGGCTCTTGTTGCTTTTGCTGTCTTCCTCTCCATGAACTGTTTTTCCTCAACCATGCCATTCTGTCTTGGAGCCAGCTGATTGTGGACTGAAACCTCCATAGACTGTTAGCTAGATAAACATTTCCTTCCTTAATTTTGTATTTTGTCTCAACAATGAGAGAAAAACATGCAATTTTTGTCTGTACTTACCCAAACTGAACTTCTTTTACTTTTTTTTTTTTTTTTTTTTTGTCTTTTTTCTTTTTATCGGTACCAGGGATCGATCTCACGACTGCCTGCTTACAAGGCAGGCGCTTATGCCGCTGAGCTAAATCCCCAGCCCCTTCTTTTACTTTCTTAAATAGCAGTGTTTTCTTTGTTCTTAGGCCTTCACTTATGTGGCTCCTTTTGCCTGAAATGCCCAGATTTTACCTCCAAGACTCTTTTCCTTTGGGGCACTGTCCCTAATCATCTCCTGATGGATAGCGTCCATTGGTTAGAGGCCACCAGTCTATTTAATGCTCACCTCCACTGGGAGTACTTACCTCCTGGCACTCTGCCTTGGTTCACTGTAGCTCCCTGAGGGAAAGAGCACATCTTGTTCACTGCTCTGCCCATTGTCCCCAACCCATTGCCGTATACATGGTCGAATTAAATAAAAGTTTGAAGAACTGAACTGCAAATATGTTTTTAGTAATTCAGAATGAGACAGGGATGAAATTCCAGATCTTTAATGGGTCACTGCTCTCTCGTGACACTTCCTTTTCTTATCTCTCTTCATCATCATTGTCATTCACTTTTGGGTCTTGTCTTTTTAGGTTCTGAAATGTCTACTATCTGCGTGTTTAAGTTCACTTACACTGCTATCCTACTTCAACCTACTATCATCACTTCTCTTGGGCCAATAAAATATTCTGTTCTCTCTATACTCGTTGCTGCTCCATGTAGTCAGTCAGCTGGAGTAATCATTTTGAAATGTGGGTAATGTAATTTACCCTTTTTAAAATATTTCAATTACTTGTCATTTGCAGCAAAATCCTCTCAAGACCTGTGAGGTCCTACCTATTTTGACATTTACACTGTTCCTCCTGCCCTTTAAGTTCTAAAGTGCTCCCATTTTCTTTGTCCTTTATTTCACCATCCTTGTTTCAGTTGTTTCATTATGGCAGTCATTCCTGCCACAGGAGCTTTGCATGTGACACTGACACTTTTAGGAATGCCCTTCCCTACCCTTTAATCCTTTATCTAGGAAATATCTGGTCATCTTTCCATTCACTTTCTTCTTCAGAGACCTTTTCTGTATCTGACCTCTGTATCTCTCATAGCACATTTTTGGCAATCATATATATATATATATATAAAATCATATCTGATACATATTATGTATCAAGAATGCAGGCTTCAGGCCGCTCACAGAAGCATGCACAATTCTTGGGTACCAGATTTGGAACTCATAAGCAATTTTATTTAAGATTATAGTTGTTAGATGAGTTGAATTGAAAACATGTTTTAAAATTGCTTATTTTCTAAAGTTTGTCTGCAGTTACATTTATTTCAGTTAGACACATACATACATTGCTGTTCTGTAGTACAATGTAAAAACTAATGAAAGCAGAGATAGTGGCTGGTTTTGATCACTATTTAATGATTTCTGGGTGCTTGACACTGTGGAAACCCTTATTAAATACTGGTTGTAACAGTGAGTGAGCCAGGGGGTAGATAAATGCTTGAATAATTAAAATGTCACAGCAGGAGCAGAGACACAGTTCCCTGCAAGTTACTTTCTGATGGAACCAGGCAGAAGTTAAAAAGTAGGATCTGATGTTAGGGTTTATTTCCTGTACAAAATTTGTTCTTCACATGCTTTCTTCTTTAATCCAGCATGGAGGCAAGCTGTGAGTTTTGGAGAAAGTTCCAGATAAAATTGTTTCTTGCTTTTCTCCTCATTCTCATTCTGAGAAGATAATGACCCTAAGAGAGTGAGTAAACTACACCTAACCTTTAAAGGCTCAAATGTCAGTATTTTCTAAACTTCTTAACTGAGGGAATCACTTGTGGTATTCTGGGTTTGAAGTCTATGTGGGGATGTATACGCATCATGGTCAAGGCAAGCTTGGGAAACACTGCTCTCCGGGAATCTACAAAAGTGATAAACGAGGAGTTGATGTTTACTTTAGAATTGTTTCCTTTCTCTTATGCACAGCAACTAGTTTTTTTCTGTGTGACATCAGAATACTTAAATTATTGGTGGCTTCAGATATTTCACAGTCTGGAATCTTCATGCTTATTTGTAATTTTGGGAAACATTAAAAAGAAAAGATGTGGAGGTCAGTGAACTTTTAAATTTAATAAAAGTGATGTTTGACTTCTAACTTCAGTTAGAAGTGTTTTCAGAGAGACTCAGCTAATGAAATGCAATGTAGGAGAAAATGCATCTTTTGCATCCCGAAGGCACTGATTTAATGAATATACCAAAGTTATTCTTCTGTTGCCAAGTCATGTAGAAGATGATAAATGGGATCTTTGTAAAACAGTCCTTTGAAAAAAGTATATTGAATCTCTTGTGGAAATGTGTAAAGGGAGTTAGTAAAGGTCTTTTGATTCAAGGCAAGCAATGGTACTGAAGAGAAATTAATTTTATTAAGGGGCTTACATTAAAGCAGGGTGTGTATGAATGAAACTTGTCAAACAAATTTACTATTCCAGGAGTGCAGTGGTTGAGGCTGCTCACAGAAGCATGTAGTACCTTGGGTCAAACACATTTCTTGGGTACCAGATGTAGAAACTCATAAGCAATTTTACTTAAGATTACAGTTGTTAGATGAGTTGGAATGAAAACATGGTTTAAAATTGCTTATTTTCTGAAGCTTGTAGTTACATTTATTTCAGTTAGATATAAAAATTACTAGTTTGGGTGAATGTACTGATATGTGCAATCTATGTTGGTAAAGCTGTAAGGAAAATACTTTTACTCTTATTTTGAATGCATATCACCCTCATTTATGCCATAAGATAGTAAGAATTAACCACATCTGATTATTACATTTTCTTACGGTATGACATAATGAAGATTTTAGAGGGAATTAGTGATTGGAATATTCATAGACCAGTTTAGATAGAATTGCAGGTTGAGAGCCTCTAGAGAGTCTGAAAATTAATTTAGTGATTTGCGACTGACGAGTTTTTAAGTTATTTTTAGTTAAAGGGACTGAACCCAGGGCTTTGTACATGCTATGCAAGTGCTCTGCCACTGAGCTTACAGTCTCAGCCCTAGCAACTTACAGTGTTGTAAGAAGTGAAAAACAGTCCATTAATAGTAATGGTAAATATTTTTGTTTCACTTTTAGTTATTTTTTATTTGTTGTGATATATGTGTATGCTTATAAATGTGTATGCATGAATGAGTAGTAGGTTGCTATAAAACATATTTCTTCATGGAGATATGGTTAAAAAACATGGAAAGCCATCGCCCTAGATTTATTATCCTGGAGAAGTTTATGTTCTGTGAGGGTCTGAAAACTACAAGTCCCTTATTGTCATTGTCACCCTCTCTTACATGTATCTTCCAAAGGAAAAAGGCCTTCAAAATGAAAAGAGTGCCCCCGCCCCCGTTTCCAGAGATCAAACTCATGACTGTGTACTTGCGAGGTAGGCGCTTATGCCACTGAATTAAATCCACAGCCCTGAGGAGAATCTTTTGAAAGAAACTATTTTGCAGGTGCATAACAACAGCAGTTTTTGAGTCATATAAGTAATGATACCCATTCCTCACATGTTCCAATTGCTCATATGTCAAATTTAAATTATATGATTTTCTGGGTAAAACCTTCAAAACTAAGTATCTAGGCAAACTTTGACTATTTATTTATGTGTATTATTTTCTCTGTTCCTCTTCTTCCCTTTGTCTTCATGCATATATATCTCAATCTTTTGTCTTTCTTTCCCCTGTTCTTATCTATTTTTTGATTCATTTGTGCAATGTGAATATTATCATGACATTGCTTGTTTTCCTAGTGTATCTTTTAGGAATAATGTATTACTTTTGGGGATTGTAAGTCAAATTTATTCTAATGATTATAGGGATGAGTATGGAATATATTCAGAAATGAGGTCACTTATCTAACTCTTATTTTTCTTGTGCTGTTTTTCTCTTTTCTTGATGCTAAATTCATACTTGTTTTCTTTGTGTTTTAGGCATGGCACAGTCACAAGGCTGGGTGAGAAGATACTTCAGGGCCTTTTGCAAAGGCTTCTTCGTGGCAGTGCCTGTGGCAGTGACTTTCTTGGACCGGGTTGCCTGTGTGGCAAGAGTGGAAGGAGCATCAATGCAGGTGAAAATGAATTTGGCTTCATTTTTTAAAGCACAGGTTTTATTGTTTCTCAAGCATCAAAAATGAGAGTTGGAGTTCTTATTTCTATGCTGGAAACTCACAGGTTTTAAAAGAGGCATTGAATTGAAATTTCATTTTACTAAATTTCTTTATAAAATCTTCAAATGCAGTACTATTATCATGAGAGTAAAGATGAATAAAAATAATTATCAGATACTTCTCCCAGGCTAAAGTTGGATGTCTTTCTGAGAATTGTAAATAGAGATTCTGAGAAACATTATAGACACCAGTTTCTGTGAATATGGCCATATTTGAATATCCTTGTAAGATCAATTTATTATACAGTTACAGGATGGATTTGGGTCAAATTCAGTTGTTCTACTAAAATACTTTTAGTTTGTACAAAAGCCTAGTCACTGATCCCAGATATTCTAGTATGCTCTTTACGCCAGTTGCTGGTTGAAAATATGGAGTGTAGTAAGTTGGACGTGGTGGGCAAATCAGTAATCCCGGCCCTTTGAGAGACTGAGGCAGAGAAAGACAAGTTCAAACCCATCCCGGGCAATTTACTGACTTAGCAAGATCCTGAAAGAAAACAAAACAAACAAAGGCTGGAGATACAGCTCAGTGTGAAGGCACTGAGTTCAATCCCAAGTACTGAAAAGAAAAACACAAAGTTAAGAACTGTGGAAGTACTTTGGAGTAGAGATTTCCAAAGTTATGTGTGAGTACTTCATAGTCTTCTGGAATAACTCAAGGAAATTTTACTTTTCTTTAGTTAATATTTTGAACCTTACTCTATGAGTTCATACAGGGAAGCAGTCTTTGCATTTTTGTAGTAAGATTTAGTTTATCTCATTATTAGCATATATTAAGTTCATGCACTGTGATAAATAGCTTTGTAAAGCAAATATGAACTTCTGAGAAATTAATATTATATAAAGAATAACAAGCTGGTTTTTCTTTTTGTTTTGGTTAGACCTCACTAAGGACATAAGCATCAGCTTTAATGAGTTATGATGGATTTATTTTATTTATTGTAGTTATGGTAGTGCAAATCAGACTTCTTCCTGAGTTCTAGTAGTTAATTACTATTTAGAGGTTTAGGACAGGACTGTCTTTGTGTCTGGTTCTCCTTGTGTTCTTTGAAGTTGTTAGGCCCTGCTGGTCAGGGAATTCTGACCCGAAACTTAGCTTGCAAGTTCCCTTCATAGCAGATCACCACCTCAGAGCAAACCAACCACTTACTTTGAATACAAAAATATTTAAATATTGGAGTACAATAAACATGGGTGAGTGATTTACCTATATATGACTTTATTTCTAAATAGAATATAACACAGATCAGATTTTGTATTTACTGCCTTTTTATTTTTGAGTTCCTGAAAGCCCTATTTTGGACCTAAACCTTAGAGAAATGTAGCCATTTTTTTCTTTGTAGAGTTTTTGAATCAGATTTCTTCATTTTTTTTTTTTTTTTTTTTTTTTTTTATTTAAGAGGAAAAAGAGAAAAACACAAAACAAACCAAAGCGGCGTAAGGGTACACGCAATACAGAACTACAAAACAAAACAAAACAAAACAAAACAAAAAACCATAACAGTAAGAAATTACCTGCTAGTAGATTACACACTATTTTCTTGAAAACAGTTCCTCAAATCACAGTATCAAAGAACACAAGGTGGACATTCAAACAGGGAGACTGCAAACAGCTGTGTTCAATGTTCCAAAAACATTGATAAAGTCAGCTATTTAACACCCCCAAACACACTTGCTGTTATATCCGTTAGGTGATTTCTTCATTTTAGATTAAAATTGCTTTCTCAGGGCTGGGGATTTAGCTCAGCGGCATAAGTACCTGCCTTGCAAGCAGGTGGTCTTGAGTTCGATCCCCGGTATTGATAAAAAATGAAAAAGACAAAATAAAATAAAATAGCTTTCTCTCCCTCACCCCAAATCACCTTTTAGTCTCTGGGTTTCCTTTAAGTCCATCTATAAGTGTATATCTTTTAGTAATGAAGAATCAGACTCATGATTTTCTCCAGTTTCTTTATTTGTGTCTTGCCATACAACTATCACTGTTCTGAGAAAGACTTTTCCAAAATATAAAACCTTCATATCTTGGATCTCATAATAATCAAGGAGATCATGTATCAATCAAGTATTGCAATCTTTATATTTTTTAACCCAGTATATTCCTATTTAGCACCTATATTCATGGCTGTGGGAAATGCCAAGAAAATTAACTTAAACACTATTATGATTTTTGTTTACAAGAAAGCAAATGTCTTACGAAAGGAGAAGGCTTGTCATCAGTGAAGATAGTGTTAAACTTGTCATTCCTAAGTACAAGTCCATGGACAAATGATGTCAGCAGTGCATTAGATGGTGTTGGTGTCTGTAGGGAGGTTAACATTTCCTGTAGTATTTTTGGGCCACACCTCCAAAAGGAATTAAACTTACTACCTTGGAATTTATTTAGTTCAGAGGAATTATGTATTATATACCATATATTTTTCTGTTATATTATGTAGAATTTCCTTGGTTACTGGTTATAGGGAAGTAACTTCAACTTACATAAATGTAAAGGGAATTAACTTGAACTTACATAGACCTGTATTTTCTGAATTTAGATATAACAGACATTGGAATGTTTATTATGTATGCTTGAGAAGGGCAGGAGTGTAGCACTTGTCAGGGATGACTGGAGCAGTACTTGAGTTCGGTCCGAGTGGTCAGTCTTCTCTCTTAAGTTCTGCTCTGTGTGCATTTTGGCTTATTCTCTCAGACTAGCTTTCTCAACATGGGCAGCCACATGGCAGCTGGCAGCTGTTGTACCTTCAGATGCCAAGTTTCCTCACCATCTAAGAGAGATCACTCTTCTAGCCTTAATTTCAGTTTGAAAAACCTGAGTAAAGAACCATGATCCTTTCAGCCCACATCACATGATCTTATCTTTACAAATACAGAAAAGGATGTTGGGGTCTCTTGATTGGTCTAGTTGTACCTACCTTGAAGGCACTGTAAGACAATGAGAGGGTCTGCCTAAACTGTTTTATTCTGTGGGAACTGGGAGTGGAGTATAGGTGTTTCCAGGAAAAGCTGGTGCAATTTTCAAAATAAAAGTGGAAGGATGTTCTTCTGGAAAAAGAGGAAAAATATATATTTACTACAGTTAGGTCTATATTTTCTGAATTTGAGCCTAACTTTGGGTAGAACAGCCAACTTCATTTATAATTTCACTAGACATCATTACACCATGGTAAAAGCAATGATGAAATTTAGGAATCAAGAAGTTTTAGCATATTTGAAGATAATTTGGGCATATAGTTTTGATGAACTGAACGTTTAGATCATGAAGGTTAGCATGAGTACTAGAATAAATTCTTTTCTTGAAATTTCTCTAAATGTGGAGCCAAGTTCTAGAGCATCCTGCAAGAATGTTTTGTTTTGTCTGTTTTGTCTCTGAGGCCTGAAAATTACCTCTGGTGTGAGGCACTTTGTTGGTTTGTCTTGAAGAGGGGCATTTTAGTACGTGATGAGTTTTTCTTATTCCAAAGTTTAGAAGTGTGAAAGGAAGACAGAAAAAGAAAAGGCAACAAATAAAGAAATAGAAAATAAATGACACAGATACCTAGATTTGTTGGGTGATAGAGGATGATGAGGGAAATCATCTACTGGGCCGTGAATAGTTCTACAGTACAGAAGAGGAGCGGTGTCAGAGAGATTCAAGAGCCAGGTACCGTGGCATGCTCCAGAGGCTGAGGCAAGAGGATTCTTGTGAGCTCAAGACCAGCCTGGGCTACAAAGTGAGCTCAAGATCACCCTGAACTGCATAGTGAGATCCTATCTCAAAGAAGAAAAAAAAATATTCAAGATTAAAAAGTGCTAGAGTCTAGACTCACAGGTTGCCAGGACCCTCTGGGGTACATCCTTTGGGACTACACCTTGCTACTTAGTGTATTTCTGTGTGTTTGTGTGTGGCACTGGTGGGAAGTGTTATCTAACTACCTGTTTGGCATCTCAGTATTCATTGAAGGGCTCTGTGTGCCATTTTGAAGGACTTTATATTGATGTGGGTTATCAGTCTTAAACACCGTTATTGGATAGTACTCATTCTCCTATGTACTCAGATAGAAAGATCATATCTGAGCATCTCTGTCATTTCGGATATATGATTAATTTCACATCTCAGAATATCTTTTTGGTGTATGGATAATATTGAAAAGCACTGGTAAGTATGTCAGGACACAGAATCATTTATCAAGCTACCATTAAGTACAAAACATTATGTTAGGGGCTACAGGGGGTGATGAATCAGACAAGAGATTCTGCTTACAAGGTGCTTTTACTTTAATAGAGGAAGTTCAAGAATTATTAATCCTTGGTAATGGATCCATCTTCAGATGAAATTAATGTGGAAGCTTCAAGCTCTCAGATAAATGTTTCGTCAACTTTGGTACATTTAGAAATGAACATTTGATTGTTTTAGATACTATTTTGGAGAATTAACCTGTAAATTTGAATTGAGACAGAGTGGTACCAGAAAATTATACCCAAACTTCTTTTATTATTGGCATCATATTAACTTTTGCATGGCAACAAGCAACTCCAGGATTTCAGATCTTTATTTCTTGCTCAGGAGTCTATTGGGCTGACTGCCTTCACTCTAGGCTGTTGGTTTGATTCAGTCCTCTCTGCAGAGCGGCAACTACCTGGGGTACACTCACTCTTCTTATGCTGATAGCAAGACACAGAGGGTAGGAAAAAACACTCAGAGACCTTTATTGTCTCGCTCAGAACTTTAATTCCTCCAGTTGCATTCCACTGTTCAAAGTAAGTTGGTCTCAATCCCAGAATCCCTGAGTAGTCCTGTATTTCTGTCCTTGGGAAAGTTTAACAAAGGTAGAGAGGGGAGGTACAGTTGTGAGTACATACACTGCAGCCCATATGATTCCAAGGTGAAAGAATCTTACCCTAGGCCGGTCACTGTAGCCTGTG